TGGTTGAGTGTCAGCGTATGAACCAGAAGGTCAGAAGGTCATGGTTTGATTCCGGTTGTGGGCTCGATCCCCAGTGGGAGGCGTGTAGGAGGCAGCTGGTCAATGATTCTCTCTCCTCATTGATGTCTCTAGCTCTCGCTTCCTCTCTGAGCTCAATAAACATGTATTTCTTTTAAAAAGACTGGAAGTGAAGAAAAGCCTGAGGGGGGTCTGAGTCTCCCATTCTTTGCAACTCCCACAGCAGCTCTATTTTTATGTTTTCTTTGCTTTATCCACAGGCCCTCATATTTAAAACACAGACCAGTAGAGTATGACCCTGGTCAGTGTGGCTCAGCTGGTTGGCCATCATCCAGGCACCAAGAGGTGTTGGTTCAAGTCCCAGTCAGGGCACAGGCCTGGCTTGTGGGCACGACTCCCAGTAGGGAGTGCAGGAGGCAGCCAATCTCTCTCTCTCTCTCTCTCTCTCTCTCTCTCTCATCTCATCTCCCTTCCTCTCTCTCTAAAATAAATGGAAACATATTTAAAATAATTTTAAAATAGGGTATAAAATCATTGTATCTAATACAATGTTTTGATGTTAAAAAATCAAGAGGATGACTTAAAAGGGAGGATGGGTGTAAGCTGCCCGGCCTCAGGGAAGACCTTGCTTATGAAATCTTTAAATGGAGACTTTGGTTTGTTTGTTTTTAAAAAAAAAAAAAAAGGAAGAAAGAAAGAAAAGAAAAACAAAACACAGGAAAACACCATTAAGTCAATTCTGCCTCTGCCCCGAACCCTGGGAACACAGGTGTCTCTGTCCTTTCTCACCCGGGGTCCGTGCGTTAGGCAGCCCTCCTGCCGCTGCCAGTTCCTCCTGTGCCAGTTCCAGCACCCACACCATCACCAGGAGGAGGAAATGGGCCGCTCGCTGTGGGGATCGGAATTCCATTAATGCTCCAAGACTTCCACTAATGCTCGCTAATTCCAGCGTCATTAGCAGTGCATGCGTTTAAAAACCTCCTCAATGCCAGATGCAGTAACGGGTGTCTTCACCGCCTAGCAGGCCATAAAATGACCCGGATGATGGGTGACTGGCCCTCAAGCCCCGGCTGAGAAATGGCCAGGTCAGGGGGGTGGGGCGGGGGGTGGTGAGAGGTGGGGGATGAGCATCCAGATGAGCTCAGGCACTGGCTTTTCTGATCGCAGCTGATGAAGAGGTGAGACTATTCACATGGACACAGCTCATTCCCTTAGCTAGCTGGAGACACTCTTTTCCTCAGTAATTACTTTCTCCTCATCATTGGAGGAGAATGTTAATATCATTGATCTTTGTTTCTTTAAACAGGATAAATCCTAATAGGAGGTTCCCGGAGGCCGGTGCCCTCCTCACCTCTGACCTGTCTGCTCACCTGTGATCTCCACAGCAGATGCTGGAGCAAAACTGACTCCCCTCTGGACAGCTCCACTGCAGGCAGCCTCCGGAAGAGCTAGGGGAAGGGAGGTGGGGTTAGAGAACTAGGAACGACGTAGAAAATCCATGGGCTGGAGCAGGTGAGACGCTCCTGGGGGTCGGATGTATCTGGCCAGCTCCAGGCCCCCTGTCAAAGCTGGTGCCCAGGAGGGGCAGTGTTACAGAACCTAAAGCTTTCGCCCGCTGGCCGCCAGCAGGCCACAAGCTGAACACCAAGTTTTGCAGAGGAGAAATGAAAGCAGTTCACTGGCGCCAACCGGGAGGCGGAGCTAGCGTTCAAAACCTGAGCTCCCGGTGTTTTTCATCAGGTTTTAGAGGCAAAGATTGGGGGTCAGGGCTCAGGAGTCACAGGCCAGGCTGAGTCTTCGGTCTGTGCAAGCGTCTGTGGTTTCCTGGTCTGACTAATCCAGCCCTGATGCCAGTGGCTTCGTCACTGCAGTCGGGTGACTTAACCAGATGAGGAACAAGGTTCTGGGAACCATTTCACAATGTGCGTCCCTGATGGCATCTTAGAGCAAGAGGCACAAATGACATGTCTCATGACCAGCGGTCGCCAACCGGTGGTCTGAGGACACTGGTGGTCCGTGAGTTCCGAAAGGTTGGCGACCGCTGTTTTTAAAAATTTTTCCTGGAATCGTGGTCTTTGACTGTCAGCTTCGTGACTGCCGAAGGGCGTGAAATGTTTCACTAACTAAAGCCCATGCATCTCCAGCCGCCAGCTCTCCCTGCCTCTCTCTCGGGCTGACCACCTGGGAGTCATCAACAAGGGAGTGAGGAGCACAGTGAGCAGAAGGTGCTGGCACCTGGGGGCTCCTGGCTCTGCCGTGGAGGAAGGCGGACGGGCCAAGGATGCAGGAGTTCAGCGTGGGCTTCAGTCCATAAAGGGGCCAAGGTCCCCAAAGGGACCATTGGTCTGGGCCCATCGGCTGCTGTGGACGGCAGGTTTGGGTTTCTGAGTGAGGACGGCCTCTCTGGGACCCCAGCTCAAAGGGGCAGCAGCATGTACAGCAGCCTGGGCTCTGGGGAGGCTGACCTCCCAGCAGGAGGTAGAAGCCTCCAGAGGCCAGGACGTGGCCAGGTGGGGGAGGTGCGGCTTGCCCTCTGGCCAGGAGACCGGCCAGTGAATCCAAAGGGCCCCTCCGGCCACTCCAAGGCCCCATGACAACCCCTCACTGCGCACTGACTGCGGCACTTGAGGTCTGACACACATGAGTGAGCCTCAGCCATCACACTCTTTGTGTCACTCGACCTGGCCTCACTCTGTGGGTGTTGGTCTACAAAGGGGACACGTGGGTCTGAGAGGCAGCACACGCCCAGTCCGCCCCCAGCCCCCGCCCCACCTGTCACGCCATTTACCATTCGGGCCCATGGTCTCACATGTCCTCCTCTCCCTCAACCGGGAGTCCTTGTCGCGGACGCAGCGGTGGGCTTTCATTGCGTCCAGGTTGAGGCCATGCAGGCATCTGGGGTGTCTACTCACCTCACCGGGGAGAGTGGCCCAGAGGCTAACCAGAGGCCTGGGTGAGGGCAAGGCACAGAGGATGGCTCCCAAGAGGGCGAGGATGCCTGGGAGGCAGTGGGTCTGTCTGTGGTTTTCCCGAGGAGGGAGCAGATGGCCGTCACTCCTCATTCTCTGCCTGGGGGCACCAGTTGGGCTCAGCCTGGGCACAAGGGGTGCATTTTAGATGCAGATGAGAAAGGAGAAGTGCAGTGTGGGTGTGGGGAGCACGGGAGGGGTAGCCCTTCCAGGCTTTGAAGAGCCTGGCTGCTCCAGAGTGGGTGCTGGCACCCAGGCTCCGGGTGGGGAAGAGCCGGGGGGCTCCTGAACCCACAGAGCAGCCCTGTCCTCCAGCCTGAGGGGTGGCTATTCACACGCACACACATACTAGCACATACATGCACACGTGGGCTTATGCACACATGTGTGCACACATGGACACTTGCATACATGCACACGTACTAGTATAATGCACGCATGTCTGTCCCAGGTGCATTCTTTATCCCTCAGCTCCCTCCCAAAGGGCTTGTCCTAATCTCCTGAAATGGAGGCGAACACAGTCTCCACGTCCTGGCTCTCGGAGAGGTCGGGGGCCTGCACGTGGACGGCCTGTGCCCGCGGCACCGGGGCCCTGGCGCTCTGCAGCACCAGGGCTCATTCTCGCGGCTCTGGGGCTTCACCACCTATGTGACCTTGGGCATGTGCTGACCCTGGATGTCCTCAGTTTACCCACGTGTGTGGCGTGGTGGGTCAGATCACCGCCAGGGGCCGTGGACACTCCCAGGAGGAGAGGCTGTCTGCATGCTGGCCGGTTTTCCCTGCCTCCCTGTGGTTTTCTGACAAAAGGGAGCATGTTAGTGCCTGAAATGTTCTCACCTCTTGCTATTTTTGCAAAAGGCCTGAACGCGATTGTTAAAAATAGAAATAATGAGGGAAAGCCGACGCTTCTGACCTTGAGCCACGAAGACAGCACCGGCTCCCAGCGCCCTCCCCGCTGGCGGTGATAAATGATCATCGGCTGCCTTTGTCCTTAGCTAACGTCCCCTTGGCCCACAGGGAAGTTTCTGAGTTTCTGTCTTTTTTGAGGGGGGAAGCTGGAAAGGTGCTTCAGCCTAAATAGCTCTGCTGGTCATTTTGGGGTGTCCTTTGCCTGGCTGTGCTGTGGGGAGCTGTGCTGGCTGGGAGCCAGTGTGTCCAGGCACAACCTCTGTCCTCCCTGCTCCCCTAAGCTGTGCCTGTCCCCTTGCAAAGGGGCAGAGGAGACGGGGATCCCCCAGCACCCGCAGAAGGCTGAGTGCCCTAGGTCATGTGGGAGGTGGGATTAGGGTTAGCAGCAAGCCGTGGGATTGGAGGGCACATCCTGGGGACTCAGCTATGAGCATCGCACCTGCAGTGCTATGTAGCCTGAGCCACAGTCAGGGCTGAGCGAGTCCTAGGCAGTCACCTGGGGCCTTGGCCAGGCTGCTGGGGGTGCCCCCATCCTGGGCTGTGGGATGCACAGGCGAGCTCGGTGGTGGTGTGTTCAGCTTTTCATCTTTACAAGTTACTCCTGAGGCCAGTTCTGTGTCAGTCCCCAAGCTGCTTCAGACGGCACATTCCTGGGCCTCTCGGGCATGAACATCATGACCGCTGTCCTACACTCCAGGTTTGCA